AGCGGTCCGCGGGGAGGGCCCCGGGAGGGGTACGGAGAGGCTCGGAGGCAGGGGTAACGGGCAGGAAGAGGGCGCCTATGGCGAGGTGGCCCGCGAGGACTTCGGGCCCCGGTCCTGGGCCGGCGAGGCCTCGCTGGGAGGCCTGCCAACGGGTGCTCTCGGGGGGCTCTCGGGGGCCTCGCGGCGGCAGCCGTCGCTGGGTGCCGGGCCCATCGGGGGGCCACGCTCGGGGCCTCTGCGGGGGGGCCTCTGCGGGCCCCCCAGGAGGGGCCCGCTTCCGGTGGCAGTCCGGGTCGGGGGGACGCTGGAGCCCCCTTGGGGGGCCTCTCGGGGCCGTCTCGGGGCCGGGCCACCTCACCTCGGGGCCCGGCCTCGGGGCCCTCCTGGGCGCCCTTTGGGTCATCTCGGGGCGACCTCGGGGGGGTCGGAAGCACGAGGAGGCGATGATGCGACGATCCTTCAACAACCTAGGGGAAATCATTGCTTGTTGCCCCTCGGAGCCTGCTTGGGGGTTCTCCTGGGGCTCTCTTGAGGCGTTTCGGAGGCGTCTCGGGCTATCTGGAGCTGATCTTGCGCGTCTTTGGGCGCCCTCGGGCCATCTCGGCCCATCTTGAAGTCTCTTGGGTTTTCCCTGGAGCGATCCTGTAGCGCTCTGGGGTCTGGAAGGCCGCACCCAGGATCAACACCATCTCAGATGAACCGTGCGGGACATCTCGCAGGATACTTTTCGCCTGAAGACCCCACGGGCGGCCCCACGTGCGCGGATTAGAATTATTCTAAGCCTACTATCGGAGATTTTAGCACGCCTCGAGCTTGTTGGTCCAGTGAATTCGACGCGGAGGTCCTCGTATGTGAATCGCGTTTCCTTGCACTCGTCGCTGTCAGTGTCTGAGCTTGCAGTAGTGTCTTAGCCTGTGGCGACCGAGTAAGGGTGAGTCCGAGAGCATCAGGGAAGCATGAGGCTCGCAACAACAGGGAAGCCTTGGGGGGATGAGGACAGTGACCGAGCACGGGTGTGTCTGCACGCGAGCGAGCGTGAGCGTGAGTAGCCGAGTGTGAGTGGCTCTGATAGCGATGAAGCATGATATTTTTCAGGTTTGCAACAACATCTCGCAAGCACAAAGCAATCACGCACTTGTCATCGTCCCAAATCCTATCCCCACAAGCCCCTGCAACTGCATTATTTCTTTCCACTGTGGGAAGCCCCCCGTCACTCGGGCGCGACTCCTTCTTGTAGTGATCCCTCCCCCATATGCGCCCATCGATAGCCTTGGTTTGACAAACCCGTAAACCTACATGTTGCACAATTTCAAAGTTCTGGCCAGAACATTTGTGGAAGTCCCCAGCGCTTACATTGTGACATTGAGAAGCCTTCTACCCGTAGAGCTGGTTCCACAAGTTCGAATTTCGGGGCCGTTGAATCTGAGGAAACTTCAAGCGATATCGGTTTTCTGTTTTCAAACAAGCCGTCCACACTATAGCTGTTGCGGTGACGCTCATGTGCGCGGCGCTAAGGCGAGAGCCTCATATGGAAGCTTTAACTTAAGGCGAATGTGAGCGGCGCTAGGGCAATGACCACGTTTGGAAAACCACCCGCCGTTCATCTTTGCCACTGCTGGCATATGTTCAACCAAATGCGCGCGGCGCTAAGGCGGGAATGACATTGAAAAGTGGTTGGCCGTAGAAGCTTCAGGAGGAGGAGGAGGCGGAGGACGACGAGGAGGAGGAGGAGGAGGCCGCCAGGCCGATCGTGTCAGTGTCCTGCACCACAGGACACTGACACGTTCCGCTGGGTCAACATCATAGGGCAGCCGTACGAGCCGATCAAACGGACACAGATCAACAGAGAGATGTTTGCGAATATGCTCCAGCTTGGGGGCCGACGGTCTGAGTTTGTGGCGAGAGTAGAGGCGCAAGTACGTGGGCACCTCCAACAGCTACGAGCGCTGCCATGGCGCGAGATCCCGGATTTTGCCAGTGCAGCTCTCCACGAGGCGATCGAGGCAGGCGCCGAGCAGCACTGCCAAGGCACTGTCGGCTACGTAGAGGATCATGCTGAGCATACGCGAGAAGTCAGGCAGCTACTTCGACAGCGACGTGAGCTGCGTGAGCGATTTGCTGCAATTCCTGAATGTGTCGGTGTGAAGGTGGCAGTTCAGGTCGGCATAGCTAACGAGGCCCAGTACCAGCAAACGATCAACGACACGGCGGACATCACCGCCGTTGGAGTAGGTGAGCCAGGGACTGACGGCGATGGACGACGTGATCCCCAGATTGACAGGAGTATTCTTTCTGAGGCAACCAGTGAGTCTGATCGTTCGAATCGACAGCTAGCGAGTGGATCAAGGTTTTTACTTAGCGATGTACGACGTGAAGGTGATATTGACATGAATATGGTGAGTTGTTTCGGATCTGAACGATATCGAGAGTTGGTTGAGCAAGGCTTCACACATGAGCAGATGTACGCAGTTCGAGAGATCAGCACATTAACGTTTCGATTGAAGGTTGTAAGCAGATGGTTGGCACAGCGGAAGCGAGCATACTGGAGCGAGGTAACCGAGCTGAGATGCGACGAGTTCATGAAGGCTGCGAAGGCGAACGACACGTTCACAGTCCACTAGCTTGCGCGGCTTCTTGCACAGCGCAACCGTGGTGGCCGCAAGAGAGTGTTTGGGCGTCACGCCATCCCTGGGGCTATTGAGGACTGGATCACGCGCATGAAACTGAAGGGATGCGATGGCGGATGCCCGGCGGTTGAATATGACGAGAACCAGCTGCGGGACATGCGAGACTACCCCAGGGCCATGATTGTCACGCAGAAGGAGATTGGCGAGGAGTTGATGCAGCTTCGTTCAGCGGCATGGCGTGCCAAACTTTGGGGATCTTGTCCCGAATGGAGTTCGTCGACGGAGTTGCTGGGAGTCATGAGGTTCACCAAGTGGTATAATAAGCGCATGATGCATCGTAGACAAGGGCCTGGCTATGAGTCGGAGCTCGGGGATCCTGCCACGCCTACGTTCCACGCCTTTTGTGGGCGCTCGTCGAGGGTATCCTCCGCGCTCAGCGGGCCCCTCTCCCCTGGACGCGTGCTCGCGCGGCGAAGACTGGCAAGGGCAACGAGAAGGAGGGCGTAGATGGCGAGAGGGTGGCGATGATGATCTGCAGTTTGGCGACACTCCACTACCGCGCGATGCTCATGGCCGCGGGCGCCGAGAACGTGCCTTGTTGGGCTTACGGAGCCATCAGGCACCGACGGCGAGAAGGAGCGATTGTGGTCCAGATGTGCAGCGCCTGGAGGCTCGAGCATCATGGATACCAGCACGCCCGTCGCCTACATGATGCAGCGAACGCGTTCTATTCGATCAAGACGGGCAGGCTGAACCAAGTCATCCTGCAGCGCGTTCATCCACGACGTGTACCTTTGACGCTGGACAGAGTGAAGTGGGCCCACTTTAACTTCGACGGCGAGTCGGATCGCCTCTTGCTGATGGGTGAGGGCTGCGTGCCAGGTAACCCCGTAATGGTTTCATCAATGTCATGGCGTACGCGGTGGGGCTCGAAGAGCACGCCCAGACTGAATGTCAGAACTTAGAGTTTGCTTCGCCGTGGACGGGGCAGGCAACCCAGGCCGCCCTTACCCTTTTCGTGTATGATATAGCGGATGCGTTCAGATTTCGCAATCGGCAGCAGGCGCAAGACCGCGGAGCTGACCAAAACGAGAAGGTGACAAACATGTTGGGGGAGATGGGGCTGAATCAAAACATTAGCAAGCAAGAAACAGTCCCTTATTGCAGCGGGGTGGGGAGCTTCAAGCTCGAGCGGGAAATCTTGAGGAACCGGGTCTTCCGGGGACAGAGCGTTGCTGCTGCTCGGTATCTGGGGGCTCGGCTCACTGCAAGGTTCTCGATCGCGGTCGAAACGGGGAATCGGATGCAGGCGGGGAAGACTGCGTGGGGGATGATGGGCAATTTCTGGACATCGAACGTCAGCGTCACATGGAAGATCTCGATGTTTAAGGGCTACGTCATAAACGCTATCCTGACGGGCATCGAAACGTTCGCCAAGCATGATGGACTTATGAATGTCCACGGCTTCCAGGGGCCCCAAGGGTTTCTTGCGCGCCGTGGGCGGGTCGTACTTGGAGGCGTCGCTAACCGCAGGATCGACGGCTCGATCAGGTCCCTGGCGAATCTAGAGGTTCAGGTGAACCTCGGGTCGGCTAGCTTGTTCGTGGAAGCTCGTATGCGTCGGCTAAAGTGGCTCCAACATCTTTGAGCTGAGCCAGCAGTTGCTGAACAAGTGTTGGGAGTAGTTTTTGGTGATCTTCGAATCGAGGGCCAGTTGCGCCCCGCGGTGTCGGGCGATACATGGCAGACTGGGGGCCCCTGGGCTCGGCAGTGGCTTTCTGATATCGTGGTCCTCGACACCTTTGAGGGCTTTTTTTTGTTGGAACGATGCGATTTCAAGCCGATGAAGGCCATCGCGGAAGGACGTGAGGATTTTATTCGACTCGAGCTCTCGGCCTTTCGCGCGCACTTTATGCGACGTCGCGCACAGTATGAGCCTGCGCGTGGTGAGCCCGAGGAGGGAGGATTGTGCCCGTGCTGGGCGGTGGGCGATGAGGGTAACCCGTGCCAGGCGCGCTTCGTGGACAAGACGCGTCTTGCCTCGATTTGCGCGCACGCGCGCGGAGGAACCCATGGGCGACAGGTTATCTTTCGAGCGCGCTGTTTCAGTAGCCAGTGCACGATCTGCGGTGCAGTTTTTTTTTTCTTCTGCGCAGGCGCAGAAACGCATGAGTGCGGCAGTGGAGCGTGGGATGTGCGTAGATAGATCTCGATCGTCGGCGTTCGTCAAAATGCAAACGACTCTATGCCGACTTTGCGATTTTGTGGCTGATGAGCCTCAAGCCTTGCGGCAGCACGTTCTTGGCACCCATCTTGCGGCGCATCTCGGCGGCAATCTCCTCGAGCTCGCGGTCGCGGCAGATCGCGGGGGAGGCGCAGCCGGCGGGCGAGAAGGACCCCAAGCGCGGCAAGTCAAAAGAGTCAGACGACGTAGTAACCCAGAAGATGCCGGTGCAGCTCGAGGCGCGCATGAGGACGCAGGAGCACTACGCCATGGCACAGGCCCACCTCCCTGCGGACCACCCCCTCGCTGTGAGCTGCCGGGCTCAGTACCAGTCCTACCTCTCGAGCAGGTGAAGAAAGACGGGCCCCAGCACGAGCGCGGCCCGCCCGAGCTCCACTTGTTTTCCAGGGCTCTGGGCGATATCGAGGGTTGGTTGACCGAGGCTTCATCATTCGAAGTCAAGAAGTACATCGGCCTGCCGACGAGAGTGCGCAGCATGCTCGAGCATGGCAAGAGCGAGGGCGCCAGCGAGTGGATCAAGGATTCTACATTCAGCCCGATGTACGACGTGAAGAAGGTGAGATTGACAATGAGTATTCGAGGACACGTGCTCGTCGCGACGGCGGGCAAACACGTGGAGAAGCTGAACAAGGCCCAGCAGGAGGCCTGGGGAGGCGCCCCGACAGACGACAAGTACGAGGAGGTGCTCCAGCGGACGCCGCTGGAGACGCCGGCGGTGCCCGAGGGCGCCGAGCTCGTGGAGCTCCAGCACGCCCTCAGCGTGATCCTGCGCGCGTAGGGCGGCCCCAGGAAGGTTGGGAAGGTCCCGAGAGGGCCCATGGCGAAGCAGCTGCCGGGCAAGAAGTAGGTGGTAGTGGAGGCGCCTCGCGGCCCGCGTGGGCCGCCGGCGCCTCCCCCGCTTCGGGCCCTTCGGGCCCGTAGCCGTCCTCTGGCGGCGTTCCGCCCTCGGTGCGTTCGGCCTCTTGGTAGGCCATCCCCGAGGCTGATCCCCCCGTGGGAAATTGCCTAGCTCGATCGGTTTAGAGTTGCCCAGCGTCGTTCGGAGTTCTGGATTCATGTGGCGCGAATGGGGTCGTAGTGGTAGGAGGAGGAGGAGGAGGAGGCCCCCTGGAAGCTGTTGAGATTATTAGCCTCAGGGTAGTAAGCTGTAACGAGGTCTCAGGCGACTCGCCTGGCCCGGCCTGTGGACACGCCTGGTGATGCGACACGGGGAGAATCGCCCCTTCCCCTCCTAACTCCACGCTCCTCCTCCTCCCCCTCCTCCTCCACCGCCTCCTCCTCCTGCTCCTCCTTCTTCCCCTCCTACTCCTCCTCCTCCTCCTCGTCCTCCCTCCTCCTCGTCCTCCCTCCTCCTCCTCCTCCTCCTCCCTCCTCCTCCTCCTCCTCCGGGAGGGGTCGCGCCCCCTTCCCTGGAGCCCCCGGGGAGGCATCCGCTGGAGCTGCGGCGCCCCCGCTGGCAGGTCCGCACTGGCCGCGGCCAAGAGGAGCTCGACGCCAGCATGGAGCTGACG